CTAAAACAGTTGAGATTACATGTGGTAAATGAAACGCATACAAACTCCTATACAGGTCCTAGACTAAGATAGATATACTGTAAGTAGAATATAATATAACGACATGTCTTGCAAATATAGCGACATATCTTGTGAAACACTGCTGAAGGTGAATCATATTTGATTCAAAACATACAGTTTTTATAAATTGTGTGTTAATTATTATATAATGCACTCCTTATTCAGAATAACTTTTATTCTATGACTATTGTAACTGAGACATGCACATTTAGCTGGGATATGCCTAGGTATTTTATAAGCATATACAGAATTGAGGATTGAAACTTGGGTAGATGCCAAGCTATAATATATTATTTAATTTTGATACAAGAAACACTGCCACTGGAATCTGGCAATCTGTCATATACACAACTATTAACTATTTGGCATTAGTTACAATAAACATAATTTAATATAAAGACCGAGTCAAATGTAAGCCTTTGAATTAAACTAATATTGTTTTATATCATCGTTTTAAATATTGTCGCGGCAAATTCAAATTTTATAGGCCGAAACATAAAGCACGTGCATTCTCAAAATTCACGAATGAAGATTGAAATAGAAAATATTTCCTTTCAAAATTGCTCTATTATATATAAAACATAACAAGATTCTTAGCTGGATATTACTCAGTCATCCCTGATGTTTCATCTTCGCTTATTAAGGCTTCATCGGCTCGAAATATCGTGAGCGAAATATTGTAACTTATACTTCGAAATTGTCGCGGCAAATTCAAATTTTAAGCCGAAACATCAAAGGTCAACAAACAAGTGCATTCTCAAAATTCACGAATGAAGATAGCAAATATTTCCTTTCAAAATTGGTCTATTATACATAAAACATAATACGGTTCTTACCTGGATATTACTCAATCATCCCTGATGTTTCATCTCCGCTTATTCACGGTTAATAAAGCTTCATCGGCTCGAAATATCGAGCGAAATATTGTAACTTCGAAATCACGAACTGATTATAAAAAATATGGCGGGGTGTTAATTCAGTGCTTCCACTTTCAAAAAATTTATTTCCTTCCCAACTGCTCAAAATTTCCTTATTTTTGACAAAATTCCTTTGATGAAGATGAATTTTACCTAGTTTAAATCTGATATTACAATAATTTATCCTGAATGACGGTGTATTTCTCGGGCGAGAAACACCATGAACGTTGCAATTATAAATTATAAATTAATTATTAAAAACTGCAACAGGAGGCTTGAGGTCATGCCTCAGAAATTTTTCAGATTTTCCATTCCCCAGGAGTAGGATTTGGATTTTCGACATTTCCTGACGCGAATTTGCTTGGGAATTGCCATAGTCTTAGGATTTATTAGAAATAACATAATATGCTACTTCCTTGCTGAAACCAAAATTCCTTGCCGTTTCCTAGTAAACTTTATTTCTTTTTGCAAAGAAGTTTCCTTGCAAGTGGAAGCACTGCATGGGATGACCAATGGGGATGACGCAGCATGCTGTACGCAATAGTCGAAGCTTCCCCCATTTCTAACCCTCCGCCCCTCACCCCCCTTCCATTATTAATGATTGGTCCCTTATCGATGTAAATGTAAAATACGGTTCTATTTTATTTAATTTTGCTAAGTAGGAAAATTCAGTATGTTTTAATTTAAATAGACTATTTTGTACATATCTGCAAATTGTAATCCTGAATTCCTGTAAATGTAAAATAGGATTAAAATAGTGTATTTTATTATATTTTGCAAATTAGGGAAAGTAAATAGGTTTAAAATAGTATATTTTATACCTATTTGAAAAATGTGGCATTTTTAAAAATGTGAAATAGGTTTAAAATAGTCTATTTTATTCTGTTTTGCGTATTCTAAAAAATAAATAGCTTTAAAATACTATATTTTATATCTGTTTTAATTTATGTAATTTTGTGCACGTGCAAAATATGTTTAAAATAGTCTATTTTATTGGTATTTTGCTAACTATGAATGAACGATAGGATTAAAATAGTATATTTTATTCCTGTTTGAAATTTGTGCATTTAACTTGCAAGGTAAAATAGGATTTAGACAGCCTATTTTATTTTATGAGTTTAAAAATAGTATATTTTATATCTATTTTAATTTCTAACTGCTTTTTAGTGAAGTAAAATAGAGTTTAAATAGGCTATATTAAACCTATTTTTTCCCTGAGGCTCTGGAAAATAGTATTAAAATATGCGATTTTATTTCTATTATCTATAAAAATAGGAATAAAATTAAATAAAACATTAATAAAATGTGGCTCTTTCTTTTGGTGAAATATTATGATAGAATTAAAATAGGGTTGCTTCTGAATAAAATAGCATAAAAATAGGGGTGATATTAACAAAATAGTATTAAAATAGCAATATAATATAGTTATTTTCGCAAGGGCGGGCAATGCAATACCAATAGAAAATTAGGCAGATACTACTCATAAACGGTGCAGATTTTACATAGAAATATAGCAAATGGTGGAAGGGAACCACGAAGAGTATTAAAATAGTGGAAAAGGAAGAAATATTTAGCGTTAGGAAAATATGATAACTGATGTGTGGAAAATCAATCTCAATCCGCTATCCCTGTAACCTCCCCCTCCCCGCACGTAACTTTGAAATGTCGTAAGTGATCTATCATATACATTTCTTCCTCCCCCCCCCCCCGCACTACACACTCCGAAAATGAGTGCACCTCTGTAAACCCATGTTTCCACCGTGAACCTAATTTTTGTCGAAAAAGAATTTTTATTAATCAGGCAAAATGTTGTCTCCCTACGAGATCATCATCGTATAAAATTTGCTATATATCTAAATGTTGAACTGCATTGCAAATTTCTAATCGCATCCACTTTATCTGTTTGTAATGACTGTAATACTACAATCATTCGCCGAAGGCAAAGTGATTATAGGTAAATATTCACCGAGACGAAGAATACAACATTCGTTTCTTGATGTATTACTTGAAGAAAATGCATCTACCTTGCATTTCACTTTCATATACTCAAGACCGTATTAGGCGCATTACACCCTAAATATCCATCTGCCGGTGAGACGAAGTGCGCCCTGCTCCTCCTTCAATATCCTGAGGTTATATATGTGAAGTCGTCGAACTTTTTTATCTTATTATACCGTCGTATATTCTGGAATTGTAAATTTTCTAACCAGTTTACTATGTTTTGATCATCGCTCAAGAAATCATTTGCTATGGAAATGTTGTTGAATTCTGTAACTGACGAATGTTTTTGCTATTGCGCATTCCATAAATCTTTGTTTTATATGGAATATTGGATAAAAACCTGCACACATTTTTGAAACTTTGCAGCAAGAAGAAAGAGAGTTATTGATGCTATTAGTAAGTATTTAATAATTCGGCATGTTATTTCATTTGTAGCTATTGCAGAAGTCATATAAGTAAACATAAAATTACATGGAGATGCTTCATTCATAAAGAGGTTCCACGGAACTGCTTCTGCCTCACTTAACAGAAACTTGGAGAAAGGCAGTCGATTCCGGCTTAAAAGTTGCCGCGGCCTTTATAGATTTTAAAAAGGCATTTGGCAGTGTATCCCACCCAATCTAGAAAACAAGCTTCAAAACGACTTTGGCATCGGTGGCAGCCTGCTCACGTGGTTAAAAAGCTATCTGAGTGACAGGACGCAGTACACGGTTGTAAATGGTAAAGAATCCTCTATCGCGAAGATTACCTACGGAATCCCACAGGGATCAGTATTAGGCCCCACCCTATTTGCACTGTTTACAAACGATCTACCTGAAAATGTAGAAACTGGAAATGTTTATATGTACGCGGAAGACACGATGTTATATTGTATCGAAGACTCAGCCGACGAAGTGGTATCGACACATAACAAAGCCCTGAGTGTACTTTATGTGTGGTGCATAGCCAACCAACTAACCCCACATCCCCAAAAAAGTGAATTGATGCTCCTCTCAAGACAACGTATAATAGGCTCACTTGCCCCAGTTTTTCTAGGAGAGCAAATGATCAAGTGGGTAAAAAAGACGAAACTTCTCGGGATGGTCATTGATGAGAATCTCAGTTGGAATGAACATATATCGGAACTAAAACTGAATTATGTTAATTAACAAATTAAATCTTGTAAAAACATCAAGGTTTTTGCCGACAAGTGTATACTATTAGATGTATACTTTAAAGTCATTCTTCCATCCATTACCTACGCACTGGTTGTCTGGGGCGGATGTAGTAACAAGGAAAACTTCAAGTCATTAGAACGCTTGCATTGTAGAGCTGCAAGAATTATATACAAATTACCTAGATACATGCCATCGGTAGATGTGCTTTCCAAAGTCGGTTAGAACACATTATTCTTCTACTATAAGACAACTATATTGAAACTAATTTGTAAAATAATTAAGAATGTAACACCTAACTCGATGTCAGACATGGTAAGCAGACGAGAATGCAATTACTCTCTACGAGCCAAATACCAACTATCTGCACCCCGCTTCAATACAAAAACTTTGAAGCTCTCTATAACGTATAGAGGTGCAACCTTGTGGAATGATATAAATCGAAAATATAGCGAAATAAACATTGATGAATTCGACAATGTTAACGCTTTCGTAAAAAAGGCCATAAAAACAATCACCTTCAAAGACTTTGTCTTTTTATAGACATAGTTAGTAAATATATAGTAATTAATTCTTATATGTAATTTAGAACTTTTGTATATATCTCTAAGTGCACGACCCCACAAACTTATGCTTTAAACATTATCGTGCTTAAATAAAGTCATATTATTATTATTATTATTATTATTATTATTATTATTATTATTAAGTTGCCAAGTATGAACTTAACTTCAAAAATCGAAATGCCATTGTCCTGAATGCTCGCCTCCGTGAGCGTGCATCCACAGCAAGTCACCATAACAAAAATAAATATATCTTAATTACGATGGCCGAGAAGGGACTTCCGAGTTTCCGAGATTCCAGGTTTCCGAGTTTCCGAGATTCCGAGTTTCCGAGTGATTGACCATTTTAATAGTTTAAAAGCATTTAATATAAACATTTAATACATGGATAGCTGTTATGAAGAGATGAAATTTGTTTAATTTTTAGTTTCTATTCAGTATTCACTAGCATTCATGCCCATCTTACTTTATCGTGAATAATTTACCAAGATCGGCAAAAGCTAGGATAAGATAAAAAACCAAACAACAAACATATAATGTAAACCAGTTAACTGGCATTTACAGCAATTCTTGTCCTAAATGAGAAGCTTCACTCTATCTAAAAAATAATACATATTTTTTCTTCTATCCTTTTATATTTTTTCCTCAAAGCATTTAATTCTCTTGACTTGGAGAGTAAATTTTCCTTTAAATCATCTCTCTTTTGATCAAGCTCTCCCAAAGGAAACTACAGTTTCTGCGACGTCTTGGTGGTTCGACTGGTTGCTCTCCGTTTCTTGCTCCCAATGACCTAACAATGGCTAGCTCATTGTATCTAACTGAAAAATACGAAAATGTGTTCGAAATTTTCATCGGCTAAAAAAATGATAGAGCCCTTTCAGCCTTCCAAAGAGCAATAGTGACAACTATATTGTGGTTTTATGGTTGTACTTTTTCGATAAAAAGGTGAAAAGCCAGCAAAAGATTTAAAAATTTCATGCCAACTAACCTTCCAAAATATACAATATTAATGATCACAATTTTCACAACATCATATGAACTTGCAACGCGAATAATACACCAAACCGCATAATCTTGATGTCAAAATGAAGATAAGAATTCGAGCTTTCTAGTTTCGAGGCGGGAAAACGCTAATACAAGTTACCAGTCCGTCAAAAAGAGAATATAATATGGAAATATTTGCATTAATTTTGAAAATAAATTAATTTTAATAACCGCGCGTTTTGGGGAATTTAGGACCTGGGTCTAGCGGACGTTTAATTGGCAAAAATTACTACATAAATTTACCAAGTGTGCAAAATGACATACGTTAAGAATTATGATGGAGAACTTATTTGTTTGATGTAATCGCTAAGTTATATTACATATTACGTTTGGAAATTACTGCCAAAAAATTACGAGAATTGATACTCGTTTTAATTGCCAAATTACATTATGTTTGGAATTATGTTTGACAAATTATGGCTATCGATATTTCTTCTAGTTATTAAATTACGTCAATTTTGAAATTATTCTGCATCCCACAGTTTTACTTGAATCAACAGTGTGGCCTTCCTTTACAAGGAAAATTTTATTTATTGTGCTTCGCTTCCAAACATCATACAACAATTGCATTAAAGAAGCTGGGACACCACAACAGCTGAACACCAATTACAGTGGGCCCTTTATAAAATATCAATATGAATATAGAAAACAGAAATAATTAACAAATTTTCGCCGAAGGCTAGGTGATAATCGGCGAGAAGGGACAGAGACTTAGTCGAAGTTTTCATTTAACAATAACCATCGAGCCTGAGGCGAATAATAGTTTTAGTATAATAAGTTTTAGTATAATTTCATAAATGATTAATTATCTGGGGAAAAAAATATAGAATTACACATTTCTTCATCATTTAATAGTCAAACGACTTCGGCCGACGGCCGCCATAATATTTCGAAAATCGCTTTGGTGATTATCGCGTTATAATCACCTCAACGGCAACCAATCAGCGTGGAAAATTTTCAATAATCACCTATGTAATTATACTTAGTTTACTTAAACCTTCTCCGTCAATTCAGTACTGTTACTTTCATTCTTGCTTGCCAAAAATTCGTCGATAGTTTCATCACTAAGTGGATACCAAGAAAAGTGTGCCAAACATCCTTCCTCGCGCTCATCGGCGGCTGCTATATCATCAGGGAACTGTTTCTTCATGAGCTGCACCTCCATTTCATCCAGAAGAACAGTATTGGTTGTCAGAAACAAATTCAGTACCCTCATCAGGGCATTTCCGCGAGAGATCTGCAAATTACAGAACGATTCGGTTTGGATGTCGATGCCGTTACTCTTGTTGAGCACGAGATTTCTTGATGCCATCACCATTAAAAGCAATGCCACGATGTATTGGGTCCATCCCTTTTCGTACTTGATTAAAAGGTAGATTCCGATCAGAATAACTAAAACAGAGACCACGAAGGTGCAATTGGCCACAATCTTGTAAGCTTTGCTTCCATAAAGATTTTGCGTAAACTTTATGTAGCTGCCAGTGTGGTAATCGGGGTGGTGGTAGATGCAATACACCAAAAGAACCAGAAGGAAACCTGCAATGAAAAAAGAGAGTTATTTATAACATTTAGGTAAAAAATTCGTGAAGTACGCTAACAATCATGAAATACGCTACTTTGCATGTCGAAAGGAATTTGTGCATGGAAATTTCGATTGTGATTTTTATACATTATGCCTAACAGGAGCAGACGCGAAAGTTCCGAACCATAGGCACAGAATAAAGATCAGTGACAGAAGGACCACTCAGCGGTGCAATGAATCTTCGTTTTTTTATACAAAATTATGCAGTTTACTGGCCATAAGACGGAGCAGCTAGGCAGTCTAGCGCGTTCTCGTAAAACTAGTAATACAGCCACTGTCAAAAAAATTAAACTTCCTGATAAAGAAGTAACAAATGCATCCGCTATTGCAAATGTCTTTAATTCACACTTAACTTATTTAGGTGAAAGGCTTGCTAGTAATATAGATAGTTCAGACACCGATCCCACCTTTTATATCAAACTTACAAACACAGTAGCCTATTTTCATTTATTGGAATTGAAACACATAATGTAACTCGTTTGCTTGAAACTATTAACTCTAATAATGCCACAGGTCTTGATGGTATTCCAGGAAGAATTTTGAAATTATCAGCCGATGTTGTGTCCCCTTCGTTGACTAAAATATTCAACCAATCTCTTATTCAGGGAATTTATCCAGATGATTGGAAAATTGCTAAGGTCGTCCCTGTTTTTAAAAACGGAACAAGGTATGATTTGAATAATTACCGTCCAATATCAATAATTTCGCCTGTTGCTAAAATATTTGGCAAATTAGTGCATGATCAATTTTATTGCTACTTGACAAGTAACGATTTATTGTCGAAATATCAATCCAGATTTCGACCAAATCACACCACTCTTATTGCTTTGTTGGAAACTATAAATATACTAAATAGTTGGTGTGTATAAATATTGATAACGGCCTCTTTAATGGAGTTGTTTTCATTGATCTAAAGAAAGCGTTTGATACTATTGATCACAACATACAACTGATTAAATTAAATATTATGGAGTAGATGAGAATATTTTGACTTGGTTTCACCCATATTTAACAAATCGGAAACAAAAGTGTTTTGCCAATGGAAACTTTTCCGACAGTTGTCCTATAACTTACGGGGTCCCTTATGGCTCTTTTATTGGTCCTCTTTTGTTTTTAGCCGATTTTAATGACCTGCCCGAATGCCTGAATGAGGTGTTACCTAGAATGTATGCCGATGATACTTACATAAGTTTCCAAAGTAATAAATTTGATGACCTTGAAAATCTTATGAATATAGAACTTGGTAAACTTAAAGAATGGCTTAATGTTAACAAGTTAAGTTTAAAGCTGGTTCATGGTTATTGCTTCTCATCAAAGTCTCGCTACATTTGATAACCATGAACTTAATGTTTTCGTAGGCAATGATCAAATTGAAAGAGCCAATGGGATAAGTTTTTAGGACTTAAAATAATAATAATAATAAATATTTCATCTGGCATATCCATATTACTTGGCTCTTCATCCATACATTTAAAAAAACTAACAAAGTATTTCTAAATTTCCAACATATTCACGGACAATTTAAAACTTACTTAAAACTAAAAACCGGAGTTTTTGTTTTCAAACAAATAGCACAAAGTATCCAAAATAGAGCTGCACGTGTTATAACACGCGCTATGATGTTTCATCTACAGTAGCTCTGTACGTGAAGAACTTGGATGGAATAATTTTATTAATTTATATATAGTAACTGTAAGTGAAGTCACGAACAATTTAACACCTATATGGATATCTACAAAATTTGTTTGTTATAGACTCAGAGATTTTGAAGGCAGACTGTTTCCCCCTAAACCTAGAACGGATTATCTTAAACGATACTTCAGTTATAGTGGAGCTTCATTATGGAATAGCTTGCCTGAATCTCTGAGATTAACTTCATCACTTTAATTTTTTTTAAATATCTTTAAAACTAATGTTATTTAAGTCTTGTCCGACTCCCACACGTACAACCATATATCTTTAAGTTTACAATAATTTATACTATATTTATAATATGTGATATTACTAAAGGTTCACCGTGTTTTAAATAAAGGCGATGTATGTATGTATGTATGTATGTGTATGTATGTATGTATGTTTATTGGCCAGAAATGTATGTGTATGTATGTATGTTTATTGCCTGGCTAGGAAAATGGCAGCCAACATCCGTAATGGGACATGCGCCAGGACAGAAACTTCAAAACTTCCAACGTAAGTGGCCCGTCTGTATGGATCTTTATTCTGTGCCAAAGGCCTTCTGGCGGGAATCAAGCGTGTGGTCCTGCGATTCCTGTGCAGCGTTCTAACTAACTGAGTTATAGAATGCAGTTGTCGAGCTATAACTGCAAGTTCATGTACGTATGCTAAGGTAATGTTAATGTAAGGTGTGTATGCTAAATATCAGAATTCTTGGGTACATCAATCGATACAACTAATTGTTGAATGGATTTTTGGATGAAATTTTGAGTGCGATTTTCATGCATACATTTATTACACCTCATAAGGAGCAGATGTAAAAAAATATAACTATTGTCTGTTTGGCAGCAATCAAATCTGCGGTCCTCTGATTCCGATGCAGTTCTCTAACCAACGAGCTACAGAGTCCAGTTTTTACGCCAGGTTCCTATACGCTATTGCTCAGAAATATCAAAGCTAACCCCTGTTGGAAAGAATTAGCGTCTGTTTCCGGATATATGCGTCAAGTGATTTTCAACGCGCTATATGGTTTGTAATATATGAATTTTTGAGCGAGATTCTGTTGCTGCCATGAGCATGGATTTTTCTATTAAAACGTAAAAATGACAGCTTTAGTTAGGTAACCTAACCGACACCGAAATGCTAAGTAATATTATTGAAACTGGTGTCCATTACTTAAGCATTAAACACAGACACAGTTGTGGATAACTCGGTGGAGCGGGGGGGGCTACCTCCCCTCCCCCACCTTTTGGGAATATTGTCGAATTTTCGGAAATTTTGACCTGAAAGAGGGCAAAACTGCCTTTTCGAGTGCAAATTGGGGGCGAGGTGGTTGCCAGTAATTTGAAGGTTTTGTCGGAAATTTAGGAGAGATCCACCCCCTCGGAGAAAGTAAATTTCCGTAACTGCACAGAAAGTCAGTCAAGGTAAATATACATACCAAAGAGCCACACAGTCATAAAGAAAAACATACTTCGAGGCTCAGGAACGTCTATTCCAACTCCGGATCCTGGGCACATTTCACTGCACTCGCTATAAGGTTTCTGGGGACCAGAAGCCAAATACCTTTTATAGGCAGATTTCGCACAATCTTCAATGACTTTTACGTTGATTTTGGTCTCAGACAAGCATTTTGTCACATCTTCATTCCCAAATGCGTCTGAGATGGAAGCACCTGTTACAATGCTTTCAAATGTATTATAAACAGTGTACCAAAGAAGCCATATAGGTCGCATCTCCGTCACTGCGAAATGCAGGAACGCCAATATTTCCCCGTCGGTTTTACCCATAACAACTGAAAGAAATCAAAAGGAGATATCGAGTTTGAAATGCGCTTCATAATATGCAATGTTTCGCGTGATTAAGCACATGACATACAATACTGAGTTTTAAGCTTATGATTTAATGCATGTTTATGACATCGCTTTCTGAGTGCGCAAACTGAACCGTTTACTCGAGTGCGGCGGGAATTAACCTGAATCGAACCCGCGACACATATATATATATATATATATATATATATATATATATATATATATATATATATATATATATATATATATATATATATATATATATATATTTATATAGAGTTGAAGAGAGTTGAAGATTTGTAATCCAGGCATTTTATTAATTGAATAATTCTACAAATTACTTAGTTCTGTGGATTAAAAAAAAATTTAAAAAAAAATTTAAAAAAAAAATTTTAAAACATTTTTTAAAACAATTAAATTAGAATCAAGAGAACTAAATAATTTGTAGAATTATTCAATTAATATATATATATATATATATATATATATATATATATATATATATATATATATATATATATATATATATATATATATATATATATATATATATATATATATATATATATATATGACCTTATCACATGACCGATTTCTGAAATTTATTTTTGACATGAAATGATCATTGATGTTGCGTTTTAATAACTTTCCAATCACACTTTTATTAATTTGTTTTATCATGTTTCGCTCTCTACTCTAGCTTAAATAAATGATTACAAAGCCCAGTCGAATTGTAACCAAGTCTCGACGTTTCGACACTCCAGTCTAGTTTCTTGATCAGGGGTGATCTAAAGATGCAATTGTGGCTTCTTAAATACCCAAGGAATCATGTCACCTGCCAATGAGATGCATATATTCCTCTGGCAAATAGGCACCGTCATCCCTATTCAAAGCATGATTATATACTCATATTTATATGCTACTCTTCTAGCCAAAGTCTTTGAAGTGTGAAAGAACGTCTGAATCGAATGTTAGTCTTTCATCATTTGCGAAGATGAAGACTCGTACCAACGTGTAAGAATTTTTGAAATTAAAAATAAACAAACGTGGTATTTTCCACAAAGTCATACGTATAGTTGCGTTTTTATCAAGTACCCTATATTGCCCACATACGTATACACTAGTACACACAAACTTGACAGGCAGCGGTTGGGTACCTTCAAAGGTCAAACGAAAACCAATTGCTGCAGGCCCGAAAGAAAATTAAATAAATTAGTACATGAAATAACCAACACAATTTGTGTGGTATCCTAAAAGAAGCAGTCTGTGCGTTAATTTAAACACAATATATCTAGGTCTGATCTTATATAGGATTCCAGAATACCACACAGACAACAAAGAACTGAACGTTTACGGGAAACATATATATTCACGTAGATTTTCTTTTAATTTTTGGCAAATCCGCAACACCATTATCCCGTACTAATAGGCCGTATTCTGTGGCACGATATCGTTCAGTTCCGTTGCCCGCGTTCGGGCACTACTTTGAAACAAGATAAATAATTAGGATAAATTATACAAAGTCGAAATGCGCTTGTTTGCACTTCCCAAAACCTGCAGTTTTCGAGTATTTCTTCTTCGAAAATTGAAGAAATCGACGTCTTTCGCAATCGATCGATAAATTTGCATCGATATTTTCGACCGTGCTACTTCAATGCTGTCGCTAACAATTGCAAACTTCTTTGAGGAACATTGCGTTCTTCCCCGTCTAGCATTAGCCAAATTCTACGACAATCTAAAAAATTGTTGATACAAAACCACACTAAAACTTGTAAGTGGGCCTTTTTTCCCGTCAAAATGAATTAAACATGAATCAGAAGACGCCATGTTTACAAATGCTAAGCTGGAAACTTCATGTAAGAACGAGCGTGAGCCCGCGAAAATCGCTATTTATAGTGTTTATTACACCAAGTATCCTGAACAAAATGGCGGCGATCGATTGCGAAAGACGTCGATTCCTTCAATTTTCGAAGAAGAAATACTCGAAAACTGCAGGTTTTGGGAAGTGCAAACAAGCGGATTTGGACTTTGTATAATTTATCCTAATTATTTATCTTGTTTCAAAGTAGTGCCCGAACCCAGGCAACGGAATTCGTTTTCTAAGCGACTTTTCGTGCCACAGAATACGGGCTATAATGCATGAAGAGAATATCAAACAAAAATTGGAAATCTATGTCGCTTTAATTGTGATCAAATTAAGCCGTACTATTCATCATAATACAAAGTATACACAACAATCAGCAACATGCAATAAGGAACAATTCAAATGAAAGAATGTCGCTTCATACTTCATAATGTGCTATTTTGAAACTCATGCTGGCTAGTTAAAATCCTAATAAAAAAATTCATTAACCTAAAACACACTGATACGGAAGGAACTCTAGAGACTGAGTTCCGAAATGTCATTTGCTCAAACCGACTTGACCACGCAGCTCAGTTGAACTAGCAAACAAGCATTGGACATCAATCCGAAGGTCCCGGGTTCGATTCCTACGGTCAAGCAAACATTCCCAGTGCGCACACACTCAGAGAGGAAAGTATATCTTAACCCGAGTACATAATACCACAAATAAAAAATTGAATCAATGCCAACAAGTTTAAATTAATTATTGGCGGCACGTACTTCAGTAGCTGCCACATGCAAACACTTTTCATGCCGTAGTCAATAGAGTATTTATAAATCATTAGTGGCAATAATGTTCTTTTGAGGCTACTAGAAAAGGATTTGTAATATACTAAAGGACAATGATTCTTTTGATATAAGAAGTAAAATGTGACGGCGAAGAAGTTTAAGCGAAAATGCTGCAAATTTGACTCAGCCGTTGGACTCCTCATATAAACAATCATCCAGATCAAGTTTTTATCAGGTAAATTCCGTTTTAAAATTTAAATTTGACTGCGCGTATTAAGGTACAAACTTTAGAAATATATTGGGCCTTACTTATATGCCTTATCTGTCGTAACATTCTAAGACCTTAAAAATACATTCTGAAACAGAATACAAAGCTTTCGCCCAGGTAAAACATGAGCACAGCATACAATGTTTGGTGAACATTCATCATATTTAACTGGGGAAACAATCGATTGCAAATAAATAGTTACGCTCCTATATATACACCCCCAAAATATAGGGTTTATTAGAGAGAATATCGAGCTAAATACTCTGTATATTAATGTCCTTATTTATTCTTCGTCGAACATGTTCAGTTCAACAAAATTGGAAAATCGACCACACAGTACTTTACGCTAACAGCGGCTATTTTGTGATCGCTCACAAATATCAATTAATATCCAATCATGATTCTGGTTAAACAAATGTTCTGCCGAATACAACATTCAACAGCAATTTTCCCAGGTTTCTGGCTTTTCTTGTTGGTATGTAGAACTAAACCCGAGACTATGTCGTTGCGTGAGTGAGCTTCGAGAAGAACATCATTTAACATTTCTAAGAGTTTAATTTCAAACGTCCGGCCAGGCTTTATTAACAACTTCGTCCCTTACAATAACCGTTATGACGTATTTAATGAAAAATACATGCCAATAAAAACTTCGTTTCATGGTATAGTTAACGAAACCAAATATATATATATATATATATATATATATATATATATATATATATATATATATATATATATATATATATATATATATATATATATATATATATATCGAATTGATATCGGCGACGCAAATTTTTTCCGTAGACAGTCGGACTCCTCATTGATAGTCGGACGCATCATTGACCCGCGCCCTTAAACAAATATTCAGCGGATACTCTTCATTATCAGATGCGCCTTCACAGTTTGTCTTGCGCACACAACTGGTGATTTCAAAATATTGTATTGCTTGTTGAGATGTCAAAATCAGAGCAGGACACATTGTGTGTGGCTTCATATCTTGTGTGGTGATGACATCTAACATATTTTATTTTGTTATATTCGCCATTTCCACTTGCTTTTCTTTACTTTTGTGACTCTTTTCTGGGCGATTGCAGAATACCCGTCCACTTTTTAAGCTATGCCTTTCAAACATGGACACGATGTATTAATACATCTATATTTCATGTTTCGTTCGCTACTCTGGTTTAAATAAATGATTACAAAGTTGTCTTTGTAATCATTTATTTAAACCACAGTAGCGAGCGAAACATGATTGATATACCTGGTTGCAGTGAACGAACAAACTTTATACATCTATATTTATTGCTGCCGAAGGCAGCACACTATTCTTAACATGAAGTATCGCGTTTACTTGTGTCCAGTCTCTTTGCCCGAGCTATGTATTGTCGAGATCTCGATTTTGTGTCTGTCTGTCTGTATGTAAAGATGTCGTAATTCCGGGGAAATAATTAAGGCTTCAGGAAGCTTTTTTAAACGAGGGGGGCGGTCAAACTTTACTTTGTCAATGACTTTGTATTGCAAACGGATCAAGTTCTTCTCAAGGACAGTTATGAGCTTATTTTTATGATGCAAATATGGACTATATTTTCAATAATACAGGTAAGGTAGCTTTATTTCTTTTTGGTAATATACATGAAGGCATTTTACATATATAATATGTTTAGAACACTATGATTTCATGAATTCAGATTCAGCATGAATTTATCATGC